AATTCCATGCCCCTGGCTAGCTCTCATCATCCTTACATCATCTATTCTTCTTCCACACAAAAAGAAATCGGATAAATTTGTTGATATTTTACAATACTCCCAAATGGATGCATACTATACACATTTTGAAAACAGATTTCAACAATCAAATTTGGAGTTTTAACCTTAAATCTAGGGTTAAACTCTGCAAGCAATTCGGGTTGTTGAATCTTAACCGATAGAAAATGTCCAAAAGTTGAGCCCATTCTATTGCCCCTTGAATGTCTTTAGGAACTTTCTTTCCTTGCACCCTTTATTCCTCAATGCCTACCAATTTAAAGAGGCACTAATATGTCAATGTTTGATAGTTAGCTAATATTCAAATATACAAGAGTTTCACCTAAACAAAGACCATGAAAATAATTCAACTATCTAGGTAATCTAGAGATAATTCCATTTGATTTCTTCATATATATCTTGGAAACGAAAAAAAGTGATTGGCAAGTGAAGTATAAGTTTGGGTCCCATTATAACCTAGATGTTTGATAATATATATTAAAGTGGGGAGACATACATGGATGCAGTAAATCCTTATATACTTAGCTCTGGAAGCTTGTTACTAGATATCTACTGACCCGATCCGATCATAAGGGTCGGGTTGAGTGAGGTTAGGGTTAGGTCATATCTTTTGGCTATGTATGGGTGGGATAGGGTAGAGTGAACTTAGGGTCGAGTCAGTGCACTCAGGAATTTTTTATTGGGGTGTCATTTTTCAAAAATTAAATTAAATTAAAATAATATAATATAATTCTTATATAAGAAAATACACGACTCATATGACGTTAAAAAAATTTCACGATGTGTTTTCATATTCGGAAATAATTGTAGAATACACTTGGTGTATGCATTGCTCAAAAAATTGTCTCTGTATATCTTACTATACAATTATTCACGAACTTATCGCATATTTGATTCTTAAACTTGTTATTGATTCAACCCAAAGCCGAAAAGACTCTTTCAACACTTGTCTTACAACCATAAAATCAATACAAATTATGAGTAGCTTGAAATTAGCTTAATTGTTAGGTTTTGAAAATAATTAGAGATAGAAAATGTCAATTTACTATTACACAGTGTTTAAAATCGAACAATAAATGACCTGTAGCCTAATGGAAATAATCTTTATTAATAGTAGTAGTGTCCTAGATTTGAATTATCCAAACTGCCACTTATATTCTCATACACAAACTAAAAAATGAGAGTAGGATAATCATTTTTTCAAATTTCAGGGGAGTCTCTCACTATCAATTATAATTTTTTGTTCGTACGTAAATTACCACCGGGGGTTGGATAATCGTTTTCCCAAAATTTAGGGGTGTCCCGGGACACCTCCAAACCCCCTTGGGTCCGCCCCTGGTCGGGTGGATTGGGAGAAGATATGGTACAAACAAATTGGACATGTTTGTAAAGGTTTAAAAGTTCAACTACTATAATGCAATGCGAAAATAAAAAAGGTACTAAAACACACCAAAATCTATGTATATGTTTGTGAAAATATAAAGTTTAGATACTAAATTGTAATAATAAATTTGGGTACCGAAATATAATTTTCAAAAAATTATTTTCTGAATTGATTTCAGCTGACCCGGAAGCTTTTCCAGGCCCAAGCAGGTCAAACAGTGGCAGGATAGGTCAGTTTACAAATTGACCTTGGAGGGGCCTGCCAGATAGGGTTCTTACTCGGTCAGGGACGGGTTTGGCCAATATTCAGTACTACATACAATTAGTTCGTCTTCTTTCTTTAGGGAAAACCCCTCATGGGGTAGTTTGTTCGAGCCTACTAACAATTTGTAGTGGGGACAAATAACACTTTAAGGAGAGTGATTAATCACGCCTTCAATCAATTCTTTCCTACCAATTTCTGACAGGTGAACTATTGAAATCAAGCACAAAACGTTTTTTTTTTTTTTCCAAGAAATGTCAAGAGAAAACCTATACAATCTACCCCGACCCTGCCCAACCCAATACATCAGAGAAGCCAACCCACAAAATCAAAGGCGCAAAACTCTAAAGGGGAGAGTAACAGTGCTTTCTGCGCCACTCTATGGGCAGCACTGTTAGCAGTCCGAGGAACTGCCCTAAACTCTAAAGAAATAGAGACGGAAGAAAGGAGAAGGGAGCAATCCCGAAGCACCGGACCTCCAAAGGAGACAGAGAGAGCACCTTGACGAAGCTGCCGAATCACCACCTCTGAATCTCCTTCTATGATGACCCGGGGCAGCACTTTGGAGACTACAAGGGCGAAGGCGGCCCTAGCTGCTAGGAGCTCCGCAAGATAGGGATCAGCAATACCGGGAAGGAGAGACCCTAAAGCCAGAGCCACATGCCCATCTGAACTGCGCACCACAAGACCAGACGAGCACCCAGAAGGACGAACAGCAGCATCAAAGTGGATCTTCACAAAGCCAACAGGAGGAGGGGACCAAGACGAGAGGCGAGAACGGGAAGGCTGGGGCGGAGCAGGAAGGGAGGAAGACAGATCGCGAACTTGGAAACACTGACGAGCGAGAGACCGGGCATGAGGCTGGACATGCTCAAAGACCACCTTAATTCTAGACTTCCAGATCCTCCATAATACACAAACGTATAGGAGAATGTGGGTTTGGGGGTGCTCAGAAAGCATAACATGTCGCCACCAGAGACTGAAATTCACAGTCGGGGCCGAGGAGATGAAATCATTTAGACCCATGAGCGACCACAATCTTGTGGCCAAGGGGCATTTGAAGAACAGATGTTCAAGACTTTCCGGTCTTCTCCAGCAAACCGGGCAGCGAACTAGACAGTTTACTCTTCTGGTACTTTGAAAACCATAATTTAATTAATTCTAAAAGTCAAAAATTAATTATGACCGTCAGAAGTTAATTCTTTCTATCCCATAATTTGATATATAAACCAACCATAAAGGTTGTAAAGCGCCATAAAAGGACCGCTTTAGTGACTCATTAATCACTTGTAACGGATCATTAAGGACCCAATAACATCAAATAAAATAACTGATGTATTAAAACCCAAATAAATGGACCAATGAGGCCATTAATTGGTTAAGAGCCAAAGTTAGCTTGCTAAGCTTCCGCCCACTTTAAAAAAAAAAAATTGCTTTAGTTAATCACTAAATTCTTGTAACGTTTAATCAAAAGGCCATTAAAACCCCAATAACATCAAATAATTGATGTAATAAAACCCAAATAGGGAATTAACGACACCAAGCGTCAAATCAGTCCGAAACGGACGAGTGCAGCCATTAAATGATCATTTTAATGCTCACCGGACGAGCCGGTTCGGACAGGTACGCTTAATCAGGCTTGATTACAGCCTTGATTCGGGTTAATGGTTACCCCAATTGCGCCCCGACAGGTACGCTTATCAGGCTTGATTACAGCCTTAAACCCTCTAATAATGGGACCGAGGGACACTGATTTAATTACAATCAATATCATTAAATAGCGTAACGGATCATCGGAGGCGTCTGGGGATCGGCTATCGGCTTACTCGACGCCGGAGGTTGAACTGAGAATCTGGGACGATGATTTGATTCCGGCAGCCAGAGTTCCTTTCGGAATCAGGAGGGAACAGACTAGCTTTGAAGCAAAGAACACTTCTAGATCCACAACAGAAGAAAACCAAAAGGCACTAAGCCCAAATTATACAGACGAGCTCAATCGCAAATCTGAAAAGGTCACAGGAGCGAGATCCAAACAATCCAGAGCAGTATTTAACCAGATTTGCACCAGCAACGGCGAAGCAAATCAAAAACTGAATCAGTAAAACAAGAGCCGAATCCGAAATCGTTTATTGTACCATGGAGCGTAGAACTCGACGACGATGAAATCGTGCTTGGCGACAGTGTCAGTGAAATTGGTGTGGTCGAGCGTGAGCACGAACTCCTTGGACTCGGCCTCCTCAGCCGCCGAAACAGCGCCGATCAGAACCATGCAGGGTTGAATCTTCTGCGTCCAACTAGTTTTCCATCGCCACCTCCCGAGGAACCGGACGACTCAGCCAGCAGGCGGCGGAGCAAGGCGGCGACCTCCTGCTGCCGGACCGCGGCGGACCTCAGGAGGGCCTTCGGTCCGAAGATCTCGGAGACGCTGAACCGTCTTAGGGCCCGCCAGAGCTCGCCGTGCGGGGCCCAGACGTAGGAGCGGTAGTTGTACGTGAAGTGGTCGGCGGACATGGATTTGGGGCGGTTGGCGAAGACGACGTCGTGTTTGGTGAAGCACTCCTCGACGGCGGCGGGGGAGGAGAGGACGAGGGACGGGAGGCGGCCGAATTTGAGGAAGAGAATCGGGCCGAGGCCAAGCACAAAACGTTTGTTGATGTTTTAATCTGCCGGCTCACAAATTGTGTTGTGAGGCCGGATTGATTCCCAGCTAGCTTGCACTGATCACCCGTCAAAGTGTTGAGACTTTTAAGTTCTCAACCTATTTTCAACTAAATGCATTAAAAAGGCCACTTATAGGCATTCTCAATTTAATATCAAACGGATACATCATACATACATACACATACATATGCAAGATATATGCTCATGAGTCATGACTAACTGCTGTACCATGCATAATAAAGTATTGATTGGAGATGGGGAGAAAGAAGGTGTAGAAATGTCAAGGACTGGCTGGCTAGGGTTTTGTTTTTTTTTTTTTTTTTTCCAATTTTCTTTCCTTGTGCTCCCTTCTTCCACTGTGTGTTCATATCTTCCCACCACTTGTTGCATCATCTACTTACTACTGCTACTTTTACTACCTTCTCTTTCCCTTTTTTTTTGTCTTCCTCCTCCTCCTCTCTCTCTCATCTCCCTCCCTCCTCCTCCATTCCCTTCCCCTTAAGGTCAAAAACCCAAAAATTCTCTTCCCCGTCTAGGGAGAGAAAAAAATGGGGAAACTGAAACAGTTCATCATTCCAAATTCCACACCATGAAGCTGCCCCTTCTCCTTTCTCTATCATCCCATAATTCCTTCGCCATGGGAAGCGACCATCATCAGCAGTACCATCACAATCACCATGAGCAAGAAGAGGAAGAAGAAGAAGAAGAAGGTGATTCTTCAAAGTCAAGCCACTACTCCAACAAGATCTTCCTTAGCGATGATGAAGAAGAAGAGGAGGAAGATGATGGTGTTGGTGGTGGTGGTGGTGGTGGAGACAACAGCAACAGTACAAGTAGCTCCGTTGAAGAGATCGGCGGCGAAGAAAGCAACAAGGGTGGCGGCGGTGGATCTGTGAGGAAGTATAACCGGTCGAAGATGCCACGGCTCCGGTGGACACCCGATCTCCATCTTTGCTTCCTTCATGCTGTTGAAAGGCTCGGTGGCCAAGACAGTTAGTTCTTTCAATCCCACTTCTCTCGCTCGCTTTTCTTTTTCGTTGCTTGTTGGCCTTCAATTACACATATATTTCTTCCATAATTAATTTCTGTGAATCCCACGTCTGCGCAGGAGCAACGCCGAAGTTGGTCCTTCAGTTGATGAACATCAAAGGACTCAGCATAGCTCATGTCAAAAGCCATCTTCAGGTATTGTATATTTATTAATTTGGAAAATTAAATTTTAAAGAAAAAAAATAATACATATGTATCCAGTTTTCTTCCCCTCTCTTCTGAATTTCTTTTCCACAGTTTCTCAAAAGTCCATTTGGATTGATTGATTGGGTGGGACTGATTCCAGAGCTCCTAATCTCCAATGGGTTTGAATTAATTTTTTTTTTGTTTCATTTCTTTTTTCTCATTTCAGATGTTCAGAAGCAAGAAGCTTGACGATCCAAATCAAGGTGGGACAAAATCCTGAATTTAGATCTAATCATGTCTAATATATAACAAAATAAGGAAATTAGGGTTTCCCTTCAACTTCAACCTTGGTCTCTGAATTTTGGTGGGGGGTTTCATTCTAATTGATTTCAGGGCATCATCAAGGACTTTTATTTCAAGGAAGGGTTCATCAACACCATGTCTACAACCTAAGCCAGCTCCCTATGATTCAAAGCTTCACCCAAAGGCCTCCCTCAACTGGTTTCAGGTAGACAAAAAAACCTGTCATTACATCTAACCATGTAATTATTAAGCTCTTCTCGTATTATTTTTTATCATTAGGTGCTACTTGAGAGATTCTAACCTGGTAGTACCTCCGGATTAAAGACCAGTAACACTACCACTGGACGAAATCCTTGTTCGTTTTGAAGCTCATCGATCGATCTGTATTTTCATATGTATGTATGTATGTAGATACGGAGATGGCGTTTCTTGGAGAGGGAACCAGATGTACGGCACAAGCTACAGCTCCTCATTACTCAATAGAGCCAAACATGGTGGCCTTTATGGAAACTACAACACTAGTACTACTACTACTCTCCCTTATAATTCTTCCCTCAGAGTCAGAGGGATACTACCCTCCCAAATAACCACTCCCATCAAAACTCACACCAACCACCAAGCTCTCGAGGCAGCCAGCAATAAGCTCTTGTTCACCAAACCGACAACCAGCACCATCGACTCCACTAAAACCTTCCACGAATCCCGGTCGAGCATCAGCAACGTTCATGGCGCTCTCAAAAGGAAGCCTACGTGGGATCCATCTCATGGTCATGATTCCAACAAGAGCTGCTTAGACTTGGATCTGTCCCTCACAGTGAAAGCTGCAGCGAAAACGGTTGAGGATCATGATGATGATGACGATGAGGATGAAGTTAAGGTAGGTAAGAACAGCCATCATGGTACTACAACTAATGCTGATGATGTTGTTGATGAGAGCAGCTTGTCTCTTTCTCTGTCCTCGTCTTCGTCCTCGAAGCCGCCGCCAGCGGGTGGATCGAAGGAGATGGAGATGGTAATGGAGTTTAACAAGTACTACCGTGGTGGACTGTTTATTAGGAGTCGTGAGGAAGATTATGATAAGTACTGTAGCTATGGTGGTGTTAATAAGCGTGCCTGCAGGGTGATGGCAAGTACTCTAGATCTGACTTTGTGAATGATGAGGACACGGTAGTAGTCAGTCATTCTGAGTGAGATCTTGAGGTACTTGCTTTTTTTTCTTCCCTGGAGCCAGCTGCATTGAGTTGTTATTGTTTGTGTGTCACATCTTGTACCAAGACTGCCCAAAAAGGAAAGAAGTGAAAATGAAAGAAGGTATTTTACATAAGTTACCACTCTTTGTAGTTATATTTTCGAAGAAAGTGATTAAGATACATAGATTTTTTTCTTCCTAATAATTCGAGTTATTGGGATCAGCTGGTTTGTGAAATGATATCAGATATAGTTTGTTTTTTAGTCATGTGCTCAAGTACTCACGACCCACAAATTTTAACCTGTTGCTTTTAAAGTACATGATATGCTGGACCTGTGCAAACTTGAGTAGACTTTCGTTTGAGGGGTGCGTGTAAAGAAATAGTTAAACACCGCACATAGAGCTCTTTCAACAACTCGAATTATCGAAACCCGTTGGTTATTTATGACCTATGTAGACTATGTATCTACTATATGGGGTTTTTGTGGTTTTTGCTGTTTGTGCCTTGTGCTTATTTGGTTGACCATGGCATATAGGTACAAGAGTGAGTTTATGGTGGGATGGAGTTGAAGTTAAGTTCTTGGGGATAACCAAGAAAGACACATGCATACTTATACATTAGTACAGAATTTGCAGGTTGGGTTGTGGGCTTATTTGTCATGGTAGTCTTCACAAAAACAATTATATAATATACATCATAAAATAATGATATATATAGATAGATACCTATATCATGATCTGCATATGGAGACTGTCTGTCTGTTTTGTCTCTCTCTGTGGAAAGAGGAGAATCAAATGGAGATAGATGCATGGCAGAACTAGCTAGCTAGCTAGCGAGCATTGGAGTGCTCAAAGTATCATATGTCTGCCAAAAAAAAAAAAAACGATAGTCTTCTTCAATTTCTTTTCTTTCTGCATGGTGTCTATATATATAGAGCTGAGCTGTGCATATAAGTTAGTGGGGAAAGACAGCATTTTTTGGTAGTCTTGTATAGTAGTGGTAGAGAGATGTTGGATTAAAAAGTAGGTTTTTGTGTTCATCTAGGGAACATTTGGGGAAAGGACCGATTGTGTATGCATTTACAAGCCTATAGGTTGGTTGTTTGCTTGTTGTGGGGAGCATAAGCCTAGCTAGGGTTTTAATATTGTGGGGGGAAATGAATTTAGTTTAATTTTCTGCAGATGGGTCTCTTCAACAGGACAAATGCTCCTTTTTGGGTCATAACAAATGCATTCTGAATCACAAAAAAAATCCATCCATCCTTTTTGGAACTAGTGTGATTGCAGTCTATATGTGGCCAAGGACATGCATGCATATCTATGTGCTTGAAAATTCAATCCCCCGTGTATCTTGGTGGTTGACTATCTCAATTTGTAAAAATCATTGAGAAATGTGGTGGGGAACAAACAAATCTTTTAGCTTTTTACTGCATTAAATTTATGGATTGTATGTGTACGTACGTAATAAATAAGTTGACGTGCATTCTTTAAGTGTCGTTTGTGTTGAATGTCTAACGTTTAGATCTAATTGTAAGTTGTAACTGTTTTACGGATCACATGTAGTTGATTTTCTTTGGTTTTACTTTGAGCAATGATATTGAAGAGCCTGCAGCTTAGCCAGCTGTGGTAGGCAAAGCATTCCTTCAACCACAAAAGAGAAAGTAACATTGAAATGCATGCACGTGTGCCCTCTCCAACTTATTGTGAAATCATGGGTGCAGTCTTCTTTCCTTCTGCCTAACTACTTTCCCATGAGCAATGTGATTGCTTTCTTCATTATACACACAACCACATATCAATGGAAGTTGAGTTCTTTTATTATTGTCTCTCTTTCGGTTGATGAGTCTTCTGAATTTTCAGGTTGATGACAAGTGAATGTTGGTTTGAAGGTTGGAACCTATACCTATTTTTTGTTGTTGTTATTCCTTTAACAATTAAGACTGATAATTAATTAGATAATTTCAATAATTCGAGTTTTTCTTTATTAGTAGTGATTTTTAATATCAATCAGTCCTTGCATGCACAAAAGACTGAACAACCCAAAAACTAATAATTATGATGAAAAAAGAATAAACAGAAGACATATTTTCCAATACCAAGCATCTTCATCCAACATGCCAAGTATTGTTTACACCAAAATAAATGAATTTCTTATTTCTCTCGAGGTGCAATAAACCGCAAAAGAAAGAAGATGAAAAAAAAAATACACACACAACGGTCTCATAAATTAATCTCCATAGAAGTAGTTTAACTTTTAAAGTAAATTAATCATCCAATTTCATTCCAACTTTTCCTAAAGAGGTATGTAACGGTCGTTCTATAAGTCACTACTAGTCAGTTAGAATAACGTAAATGATTTTGGTCACTTTGATCTGATTCTTTTTTTCAACGGGATTTTGAAACTTATTATCATGGCGTTAGAAATGATGAGTTATTTTGTAGATTAAAAGGAACTGTCTACTCCTCAAAATTGTATTAACTTTATCGTTTGCAACTCCAAGTGTTGAGAGAGAGTTTTTTTATTTATTTTGAGTTACATAAAAATTAAGTTTCGGAATCGAATAAGCGTTCCGTTTGTGAATAATTGTCTAATATAATATATTAAAACAATTTGTTAAGCATCGTAGACACTGAGTGTATTTTATAATACAAGATTTATGGTAACCGAAAAGGCCCCTATGAGAGCTACCTGCAAAAGTCTCGATTGCTCTACTTCCACTCCACCCATTGGAAGAATTTCTGAGAGGGATTTTCTTGTGTATATAACTACCATGTGAAGAAAACAGGGTTAGAAATTAATGCTGTAGCCAAGACCATGTACGACCGCAGTCACAAAACCATTGGGAACCTAACATACAGTTGTTTCCCTCATTGCTTTCATGGAATTGGAAGCAGCTGTCATTTACTTTGTAATTCAACAGATCAATATTCAATTCAATACGGGAAAGGACTTGCCTGCCAAATACACAGATGATGAAGTCAATCGATCATCACCCTCCCAACCCAATGTAAGAATTTACATTGACAAGTAAAGATGTACGAAAAAGTCTCTTGTCTTAGAGACTTGGGGTTTTATAATTGATGTTTAAAAGCTATATTTTTCACTTAACAATATCAATTACTCACGCAGATTCATTTGTGTTCACGCATATGATCTAATTTTTCACGAGAATGTGTGAAATGAATTGATTGATAGATAAATAATATTAATGAGGATGCGTGAAAAATAAACCATATGTGTGAATATAAGTAAAATTAATAAATAATTAGTAGCAAAATTAGATGTCAAAATTTTCTCAAATCTACATCTCTACATCTATCTACACTATTTATAATAGCTGAAAAGTAAAACCGCCACCTCTATTTCAAATTTCGTGGCCTGAGAGTGATTCTAGGAAGGTCTATTTAGTAATTGCACCTCATTTGTTTACATATTTAAAAAGTGTATTATTAAGATTCGAACATTGATCATTTAAATAAAAAAAGGAACATTTAACCAATCAAACTAGATAACATTTGTTATCATACTTTTAATTAAACAAAACTCATTGCTTTAAAGTCGAATGAAAAAACTACAATGAAAATATTGAGATTTGAAAAAGTGGATTATTGAGATTTGAAATCATGTTACTCAAAAGAAGAAAAAGTATTATAAGCTTATAAACAACTAGACTACAAAGGATAAATTTATATCACCCATAAAAAATACAAAAGTTAAAGTAAAAGCAACTAAACTACAATGTATTTGTTGCAATTTCTTTAATTAAACACTAGAGACATATTCGGTATATGATGTTTTATATTTTATTTGAAGTTAGTGATATCTTATAGAATGAAATTAATCCTGAAATCAAAACTCAAGTAACATTGATTTGATTATTAAATATTTGATTGCACGTGTTGTTTAGTTTAGACAAAATACCAAGGATTGAAAAGGTGTACCGGAAAAGTCAGCGATAAAGTATATTATGCTGAAACCATGGTTTAATCGTGGTTCAACCGTTTCATACCGCTAAATACCGCCTACTAGTTTTGATTTTGGTCTTAGGTTTTTTTTGTTGAACCGCCGGTACGGTATGGTTTTCAATACTTGAACAATATATATGCATAACCAAACCATCGACCTTTGTGACAAAATTAGTCAGTTTTTCTACTACAAATATAGTCATTCCATACATGAAATATGTTAAAAAAATTTTATTGGTAAGGGTTAAATTCATTAATATGTGACAAAAGTAGTCAGTTTTTCTACTACAAATATAGTCATTCCATACATGAAATATGTTAAACTTTTTTTTTTTGGTAAGGGTTAAATTCATTAATAAAAGAGAGTTAAAGAAATAGAGTACATAAGAACAAAGAGAAAACAAACAAGACAAAAGATGCAGCAACCAACACACTGCTGCAGCAACCAACAAACAAAGATAGACAGACAACAGGAGAAGCAGGAGGAGAAAGATCACTAACAAGACTCTATCAACCCAAGCCCAGAACAAGCACCATTCTAAAGAGCTGTCACCAACTGTGACTGTTGACCAGTAATGAGTTTCACCTTAAGCAACTCATCAAGCCAACCTTCGCCAACCTGCCTTTTAATCTTTCCCGCCACCATAAGCCAAGAACCAAGCATCCTTCGAAAGAAAGCAACCACCTAGACTTGGGAACATTTGTCATCGAAGATCCTGCCATTCCTTTCACTCCATATACACCATAGCAAAGCATGAAGAAGAGACATAGTACACCATGCATTGGGTCTCTGCGGCTTGTGAGAAGACCACCTTCTGATTACTGCAGATATATCTCCTTGAAGCAGATTACTTTGTATATGGACAAATCGTCTTAAGATTCGCAAGACTTGAGTTGTTAAACTTAACACCACCATCGTACCTCTGTTGACTATATAAACGGGATACACTAACGTGATATTTTTTGTGTTAACTTGACAACTTGGAGTTTTTTTGCGTCTTATGCTAATTAACTTAAATAAAAAAGAAAGCAACAAAAAGAAGGGAAATATTCACTAACAAAAAAGGAAAATTAAGAGGGACAAATGAATAGTAGCATAATCTCTCCTTTCAACCTATTTTCTATCTTTCTTTTTGTTTCTTCTCCATCTCTCACCATTTATAAAATTCAAACCAAT